GGGTGGGTGCAGACGTTTTTCAGGTGGCATTATGGCCCAGAGAGGGAGAGAGACCCAGCAGGAGCAAGGCCAGGTGGGGCCATGTGACCCCGGCTACTCAGTGTCTTGCTCCCCTGGGAAGTTCTAGGGGAGTCTTCCAGCCCTGTAGTGCCCTCTACTTTAGAGGACAAGTCACCTCTTTGTGAAGCTTAGCTGGTCTCTGGGGGAGAAGGAACTGTGGCTAGGGTCAGGTTGAGGGCAGCTCCCAGCCACCACACTATCCCCCGTCTTTACTGCCTGTCTGTTCTGACGGAGAACTGGCCTCCAGGTCTTTGGCTGCATCTAACACTAACTCTGCTGACCAAATGGCGCTGAGTCCAGGTCTGTGTCAAGCTGCTGGACTGGCTGTCAGCCCTCATGGGCTCCTATCATCCATTTCACATGGTTCAGCATTGTTCAGAGTTTGGTCCTTTGTTTTGGTGCCAGGCTGGGATGGGTAGGTCCCCTGGGCTCTAGATTGAAGTCCAAGAAACAGAAGGTAGTGGGTCTGTTGCAAGGTGTCTCCGGGAGCAGGGAAGCTCAGCTTGGATGTGTCAGAGGAGGCGGGTCAGGGCCTGGCGTGGCAGTTGAAGGTGTCAGTTAGCAGATGGCCAGAGAGGCCAACACTTGTCCCCCAGCCTTGCCCTGCCTGCCCACCATATGGGCTCCCAGGTGAGGGGTAGACACGGTGCTCTTCTGCTTTCATACTTTTGAGGCACTGCCCTGGAAATGGCTCCCCACACTGGAGCCTGGATTTCACCTCCAAAGGGGCAAGATTCGGCATCACACACTTTGTGCAGGCCAGCTGCAGGGTTTGGGCTTTTCCCACACCTGGCCACCTCTGACTCTGCAGGTCAGCATGGTGCTCAGTGGGCCAGGGCCCTGATACTGGTGGCCTGTCCAGCCTGGGCCCTGGTCTGGGGCCCCCCAGGCTGTGACTCTGTGCTGTCAGTGTGGTTGGGGTGTGGCCAAGGCCTCACCTCTGTAGATACCTTTTTTCTGTTTTGCCTCTGCATGAGTCTGATCCTGGCTGCGTCAGTGACATGCTGTGGGGCCCTCTGTGAGTCACACCTTCTAGGCTCAGTGTCTTCATCTGTGAAATAGGGACAAGAGGTAGTTGTGAGGGTTGGATGAGATGGGCACTGCAGCCCACAGCACAGTGTGGCTCTGAACAATACAGATGCCACCACCACCATGGTGGGTCCAGAAGCCTCCAGAGGCTGAAGGACAAGACTCTGGCCTCAGATGATGTTTCTGCTTGGCCAAGGTGGGACTGGGGTCGCCTAATTTGGAGGCCTTATTCAGCACAGATTCCAGAACGCAAAGGGCTTCTCACGTACCCTGGGCTATGGAGCCCCACATGTGACCATGTGGGTGAGGCTGGAGGGTGGTCAGACCTTTGGTAGCCTGTGCAGTGAGGGCTGAGACTGAAGCACAGGCTACTCCTGGTGTCGGAGGGCTCCTCTCTGCCCCGGTGGATGGAAGGGGCTCTCTGTGGAGCCAGGAGAGTGGAGGGCACTGAGGACCACGGGAGGTAGCATCTCTAGCGCTAGACCTAACTGCTGGGCTCCTGGGAGCAAGTGGTCACTGAGCCGAGGGGCAGGTGCCCGGATGGGGCTGACCACCTTAGGGAGCAGTCACAGCTTACTCTTTGCCCCTGATAGGGCCCACTGGCCCTGGCCCCTTGCTCCCTGGGCTACTGCCTACCCCGTTCCTGAGGACCCACCTCTTCTCAGGGTCTCTCACAAATAGCCCTGTCTCCTTCTGGCCAGTGGCTATTTTTCTGGAAGTGGAGATGGAGAAGCCCCTCCCTGGGCAGTTCTGCTCTATGCTGCAGCAAGGCCAATGCCCCAGGGCTGCTGCAGGGGGCTCCCTGCCTCCTGCCTCTTCCTCAGTCCTGCCCCATTTGGACGCTGATCCCCCTCCTCTCCCCATGTTGGCCTTCCTGGCCAGCAGCCCACCCGCCCTGGAAGCCTGTCTGCCACCGCATGCTGGTGCCTGTCATTCCCACTGCCCTGCATCCCTTGGCCAAGGGCCCCTGTACCCCTGCTCAGGGGTGGCCTTGAGCCCCCCACGCCCCACCCCCAGGCTGGTGCTCTCACAATCTTTGGGATCCTAATGGGGTAGGGGCAGTGCTGGATTCTTGTTACCCTGCGTATCCCCTACTTGTCTGCACCGATTGCCAGGGGTCTCGAGGGCTCCGGCCACCCCTCCTCCCTCCCTCTCCTCCCTGCGCCCACTCTGCAATCCCTCCATCGCCGCGTCCATCTGTGGCTTCCCCTGTGAGGCAGAGAAGTCGGAGGGCGGCGCAGGGGGCAGCCGCTCACCGC